AGGGCAGGGCCAGGGGAGGAAAGGGGCGGGGCTAGGGAGGGGGCGGGGTCAAGGGATGAAAGGGGCGGGGCCTGAGCAGGAAAGGGGCGGGGCCAAGGGAGGTGGGGGCAGGGCCTGAGCAGGAGAGGGGTGGGGCCAAGGGAGGAAATGGGCAGGTCCAATGTCGATGAGGGCGGGGCCTGAGCAGGAAAGGGGCGGGGCCTGAGTGAGGGGGAGGGGCCAAGAGAGATGAGGGCGGGGTCAGGGGGCGGGGCCAAGTAAGGCAAGGGCGGGGCCTGAGCAGGAAAGGGGCGGGGCCAAGAGATGTGAGGGTGGGGGCTGAGCGGGAGAGGGGTGGGGCCAAGGGAGGTGCAGGGCCAAGGGAGGGGCGGGGCCTGAACAGGAAATAGGCGGGGCCAATGGATATGGGGGCGTGGCCTGAGTAAGGGGGCGGGGCCGATAGAGTGGGTGGGGCCTAAATGGGAGAGGGGTGGGGCCAATAGAGATGAGGGCGGGGCCTGAGTTTGGATGGGGTGGGGCATGATCTGAGAAATGGGCGGGGCTAAGGGGCACAAGGGCGGGGCCTGAGCGAGGGGGCGGGGTGTGAGCAGGAGAGGGGCGTGGCCAATGGAAATTAGGGGGGTGCCTGAGCAAGGGGGCGGGGCCTAAGTCAAAAATGGGTGGAGCCAAGTAAGGTGAGGGTGGGGCCTGAGCAGGAATGGGGCGTGGCTAAAGAAGGTGAGGGCGGGGCCTGGGTGGGTGTGGCCTGGTGGGTGTGGCCTGATCCAGAGTGGGTGGGGTTAAATGAGGTGAGGGTGTGGCTTAACCTTAGGGGCGTGGCCTAAATATGGTAATGATGCTGTGGGTGTGGCCTAGAACAGGGTGGAGGTGTGGTTAATAGTGGGGTGGGGCTTGTGTTTGGGTGTGGCCCAGGTGGGCGTGGTCAATTCTGGCGGGGGTGGAGCTAAAAGGTGATTGGGTGTGGTCAGGTGGGCGTGGTCTATGCAAATATGAAGGGGAGGGGCCAATTCAGGGGTGGGGCCTAAAGGGGAAGGGTTTGGCCAAATGATTCCTTTGGGGCGGGGCTAAACTGGGTGTGGCCTAAAGGGTGTGGTCTGATATGCTAATGAGCAGGTGGGCTGATGAATAATGGGCGTGGCCTGCTCAGGGAGCCGCCGGGGATTTGGGGGGGGTCTCGGGGGCCATTTTGGGGGTCCCTGAGCCCCCCCTGCCCCTCCCCCAGCGCTGCCCCCCCCGGCTGAGGCCGCCGAGAGCTCCAAGAAACGAGTCCAGGACCCCGACGAGGAAATCTTCTACCTGCCCGTGCGTCGGGGCCCGGGGAGATTTGGGGTCCCAGGGGGAAATTTGGGGTCCCAAGGGGGAAACCTGGGGTCCCAGTGTGACAATTTGGGGTCCCAAGGGGGAAATTTGGGGTCCCAGAGTGACANGAAAGGGGCGGGGCCAAGAGAGGTGAGGGCGGGGCCAGGGGAAAGGGGAGGGGCCAACGGAGATGAGGGCGGGGCCAAAAGAGGAGAGGGCGTGGCCAAGAGAGGTGAGGGCGGGGCCAAGGGAGAAAAGGAGCGGGGTCAAGGGAGGAAAGGGGCGGGGCCAGGGAAGGAAAGGGGCGGGGCCTGAGCAGGAAAGGGGCGGGGCCTGAGTGAGGGGGCGGGGCCAAGAGATGAGGGAGGGGTCAGGGGGCGTGGCCAAGGGATGTGAGGGTGGGGCCTGAGCAGGAGAGGGGTGTGGCAAAGGGAGAAGCGGGGCCAATGGAGGGAAGGGCAGGGCCTGAACAGGAAATGGGCGGGGCCAATGGATATGAGGGCGGGGCCTGAGCAAGGGGGCGGGGCCTATAGAGTGGGCGGGGCCTGAGCGAAGGGGCAGAGCCAAAGGAAGTCAGGGCGGGGCCTAAATGAGAGAGGGGTGGGGCCAATAGAGATGAGGGCGGGGCCAAAGTCAAAAATGGGTGGAGCCAAGTAAGGTGAGGGCGGGGCCTGGGTGGGTTTGGCATGGTGGGTGTGGCCTGATCCAGAGTGGGTGGGGCTAAATGAGGTGAGGGTGTGGCTTAACCTTAGGGGGCGTGGCCTAAATATGGTAATGATGCAGTGGGTGTGGCCTAGAACGGGGTGGAGGTGTGGTTAATAGTGGGCTGGGGCTTGTGGTTGGGTGTGGCCCAGGTGGGCGTGGTCAATTCTGGCGGGGGTGGAGCTAAAAGGTGATTGGGTGTTGTCAGGTGGGCGTGGTCTATGCAAATATGAAGGGGGTGGGCCAATTCAGGGGGTGGGGTCTAAGGGGGAGGGGTTTGGCCAAATGATTCCTTTGGGGCGTGGCTAAACTGGGCGTGGCCTAAAGGGTGTGGTCTGATATGCTAATGAGCAGGTAGGCTGATGAATAATGGGCGTGGCCTGCTCAGGGAGCCGCCGGGGATTTGGGGGGGGTCTCAGGGGCCATTTTGGGGGTCCCTGAGCCCTCCCTGCCCCTCCCCCAGCACTGCCCCCCCCGGCTGAGGCCGCCGAGAGCTCCAAGAAACGAGTCCAGGACCCCGACGAGGAAATCTTCTACCTGCCCGTGCGTCGGGGCCCGGGGAGATTTGGGGTCCCAGAAGAGAAATTTGGGGTCCCAAGGGGGAAACCTGGGGTCCCAGTGTGACAATTTGGGGTCCCAGGGGGAAATTTCGGGTTCCAGGAGAGATTTTAGGTGTCCCATGGGGGAAATTTGGGGTCTCAAATAAAAAATTTGGGGTCCCAGGGGGAAATCTGGGGTCCCAGAAGAGAAATTTGGGGTCCCAGTGTGACAATTTGGGGTCCCAAGGGGGAAATTTGGGGTCCCAGTGTGACAATTTAGGGTCTCTAAAGCTGTGTCCATCTTCCCTATGACCCAAAATTTTGGGGGGGTCCCTGGTGGGTGTCCATCCCTTTTTGGGGATTCCCTGGGGGGTTTCCATCCCTTTTTGGGTGTCCCTGGGGGGTTCCATCCCTTTTTGGGGGTCCCTGGGGGTTTCCATCCCTTTTTGGGGGTCCCTGGGGGTTTCCATCCCCCGGGGCTCCCCTGACCCCGTTTTTGGGGTTTTTTTGGGGTTTTTGGGGTCCAGGTGCGGGGCCGGCAGCGCTTCGAGATGTTCCGGATGGTCAACGAGGCCCTGGAGGCCACGTTCGGGGGG